GTGGAGTTAATGTGTTAGTCTTCATTTTATAATTTAATTTACCTATTGAATCTCCAACAAGTTGTTTAACCTAATTCTTACTTTCTAATCTGATGAATGCCGATGACAGCATTACCCACATTATTCATTTTTTATTTTTAATCAGAAGAGGATTTGAGGCTACTGACAAAACTGCAAATAAAATACATGGATGAGAAAACCAAGGTGGTTGGAAAATGAGGGTAAGAAAAGAAAGCTGTAGTCAATTCAGGACACAGGTAAGTAAGCTGCCACCTTTGATAGAAGTGAACAGCAACTTGACTCCAGGTAAAGAATTTAGGAGAGTCAATTACAAGAGAAGCACAGTCTCTAGGAGGATGTGCTGTCTCAGCAGAAGCACAAGTGTCCTTCGTATGAAGGCTTATGGGACAATTTTCCTTAGATCCGCATGGAGGGGGCTCCTGTACCATGACTAGGCCAATGTCCTCAACAATATTTCCGCAGTGCACATGATATCATATCTTATGACTGCCATTTCCTTTCTCGTCCTCTGTGCTGGCCAGTGGTAAGCTCATCAGAGGGCAGGCCAGCAAACACAATTCACAGGGGTGGGAGATTCACAACGGTGAGAATCAGGCTCGCTGATGGTCTTGCTTGATCTGACCATCAAATTTCAAATATTTAGAGGCACGGATGGATGACACATCTTTTATTTCCCCGAATCTTATTTCTTGCAATTGAAATTCTAATAAAAAGTTAAAAATAAATAAATATTTTTAACAATAAAATAAAATAAAATGTCAAAAAATAATAAAAATTTAAAAAATTGGATAGTAGAGGTATAGTGGTAATCTGTTCTAGCAAGACCCAGATGAGTAGCTAATCTGACATGCACAAGGGGAAGACTAAATACCTCATATAAAGTGTGAGGAGCCTAAAGGAACCTAAACAGATGCACGGCTTGAATAAGGGTCATCCCTTAGCCCATCTGAAATGTGCTGGGAAGTACGACAGGCAAAGTCTAAAGTATCCCATCGTTCTGGGTCAGCTCCCATAACTAGAGACGTGAACTATCAAGATCCCAAAGCTTTGCACACATGCTGTGATCATCCTAGCCTGAAATGTTCTCAGAGCAGGTCTCCTGTTGCTCATACAGACCTTTAAAAAAAATCTTAATGAAGCACTATGAACATCAAGGTTTAAGTAATATACGTCTCGACGGATTTGTTGCAGAACATACCCTCAGATAACTGAATGGTCTGCCTCGCTGAGTGGGATTACTGCGTGTAGACCCTTGAAACATTTTGAAGATTAAATGAGATACCGTATCAGTGAACACGTTCTGTAAAGTGCTGTGAACATCTTGGTTATTGTTATTATCAGACTCCCATCTGTATGTTGATCAGTAACTGGCTCTGCTATGACACAGCCTGGCCCTAGTGAAAGAATAGCCCAGAAGTCAATTGAGCATCCTGACATCAGGGAACGCCCTTCCTCGTGGTGCTCTGTGTCTTCCCCATAGTCCTCCAGTGTGGAGACCATGGCACTCACCTCGTCCACTGCCGGGTACAGGGCAAAGAGCTCGGCCGGCCGATTGCTCCTGCGGGCCTCCTCGTTCTGCCTCTCGAAGTCCTCGGCACTCACGCGTTGCAGGAGGTTCTCCAGCTGCTGGTCGGGCTGCAGGCTGCGGAGGTCGAAGCCATAGGCGGTGAGGGGGCCTTTCCCAGACACGTCGCACAGCACGTTTAAGCGGCGGGGGCCTGGCTGAGAGACAGAGCGTGGGCATCGAGTGAGAACAAAGGAATCTGGATGTCAAGGCTGCTCCAGCGTGGGACTACAGGATCCCAGGCCTCCAGGGGTTTTCTGAGCAAACTGGGGATTTGACAGGAATGATGTCTTAGCTTCCTGGTTGGACTGTCCTAAAATTCAGTGTCTCCTTCCCACCTGGAAGCAGGTGGTTACTCAATGGATGCAGATAAACCAGTCCTGACGAACGGTTTCAAAACAGCCCTGTGTTCCTATTAATTTCTGGCTTGCTCTTTTTCTGGAGATTGGGAGCCAAGCCTCTTATGAACCACACTCAGGTCTCATGCTCAAGCAAAACAGTTGGACTAAAGTGGAACAGACAGGAGATTGGGCTGGGAAATAAAGACACCTCATTCTAATCTCAACTCCAGAATTTAGTTTTTGAAACTGGAACATGAGATGATCTGTGAAGAGCCTTCCAAATTAAACTTGATATCAACTCCAAAGCTGAATGTTATGTTTTCCAAAGACAGAGATGTGGGGTGAGGAATACTTTCCTACAGGACTTTAGTAGCAGTTATAGGAATAAATGCGTGCGCGCACACACACACACACACACACACACACACAAAGCATTTGCTATGCTATTTAAGCAGTGTCCACTTTTAGCTGCGGTGTGTTTGAAAAAAAAAACAGTCTTAAATCAGTCACAAAGTGGATGCTTTATTCCACCAGGAATGTCTTGGTGGATTGGGAACTGCATGCCTAACCAAAGACTCGACAAAGAATATGTAAGTGTAATCTGTAATCAACAATATGTTGTAAGACTATAGATAGATCAATGATAAATATCTATAAAATTTATGGTAAAATGAAATTATCGAGGTTCTACCAAATGGGCATACCACTGTATCATTTCTCTAAACTACACCATTTTTTTGTGACATCTATTTGCCTCATAAAAGTGCTACTCTACTAAATCATAAATTTTACCTAAACTGAATGTGCTAGCAACAATCAATATTAACATTTTAATTATTAATACTTTTGTTTGTCTTAGAATTTATAAGAGTTTGGAGAAAATGAGTTTAACTTCCCAAGTTTCTTGAAAAGGATGTCAATGTGTATGAGCATTATTAAGACTTTTGAAGTACGAGGGTACTTCAAAAAGTTCATGGAAAAAGAGAATTGAAAGAGAATACGAATCCTTCTGCGAACGTTTTAAAGTGCCCTCATATATGTCAAAAGTCTTAATAATGCTCATACCCTTTAATGTAGAAATTTCACTTCTAAGAATTTATCCTCAGGGTATGACTGGACAAGTGGGCAAGGACATGAGGCCAAGAGCATCTTTGAAACACCGTTTGTAATAGCAAAAGAACAGCAACAACCCACATGTCCCCCTAAGAGGAAGCATGAAGAGATTTTGGAACTTTCATGCAATGGAATGTTATGTAGCCACTAAAAAAAAAAAAGAGCATATGTTTATTGGAAGACAAAGATGATCTCAGTGTGTTGTTAGTATAAAAAGGAAGTTATACAATCTTGTACATAATATGATCTAATTTTTATGAAACATATGGGTACCGTGGAGCCATATCATATATGCATTTAACTCATGTAAATATAAATTCAGGCACTGGCCTCGCCATTCCACTCAATGAGAAGGTGCACAGGCAGGAGAGCGGAATGGGAAATGTTGCTGGTTGTCTCACAGTCCAAGTCTCTCTCCATGAGGAGTGTTATTCTAACACGTACTTCAAAACACAAAGCCTTTGTGCAACTTGGTTCCTAAACCCAACCAATTGAACTTGGCTCAGTGCTCTGTTAATACACTGGAGGAAAGAGCTGTACATGGGGCTGGTCTTCACTTACTGGCCCTTAGCTCCAAGCTCGCCCTTTCATACTCTGCTCTGTGATGCTATGTCTGGGACTCAATAAATCTTATTTCTGCTTTCCCTGCCTCTCCCTTTGGGTTCTGCCAATAAGGGGCACTGCAGGGAGACTGGATGGCTGGAGGTGGGAGAGGGGCCCGGCTTCTTCCTCTTTGCTTGCAGTTCCTCTCATCTTGGTAGTGACAGGTGGTTCTAGCCTTGACCTTTTTTGGCATTCCAGAATCATCCCCCTATTACCTCCTTGGAGGTACCAGCACCAGCTGGGCAATGCCTCTTCCTAGGGTGGCTGAGTCCACACTCCTTGAGGTCTTTCCTCTGAGATCACGCCATCAGCTGGGCAGTGTCTCCTTTTCAGAAATTTGAGCCCTTTCTCTGAGGCCCCTTTTCTGAGCTTCTAGATTCTGATAACTCCACGTTCTTCCACTAAGCCCATTGTCCTCAAATTGTGGTTCTGGGACTAGCAGCATCAGCATCACTTGGGAAATGCTAATTAGAAATGCAAACTCTCAGGCCCCTCCCCAGGTCTAATGAATCAGAAGCTCTGGTGAGCAGGGCCCAGCAACCTGTGTTTCAACAAGACTTCTAGGGGCTTCTCATGAAGTTAAAGTTTGAGGACCACTGCCCTAGACCTCAACCCCAGGGTAGTGTGCCATTTCCTGCAATTATGATTTCTGCATAACCCCAATTTTTCCCTTTTGGTTCTCTCCAAAACCTGTTTAATCAACTCCTATGTTAAATTTCTTCTCTTGAAATACCTAGTGTGGCTTCTGTCTGGCTAATACAAGGAATAATATAGTTGGTCATCATATATGGTGAAAACTGAATTTAGTCAAGATTACCGATGAAAAATCCATTAAATCTCCCATAGAGTACAGCATACAGGTAATCCACCCCTTAGCAAGCTTGCCATTTTCACTACTGGAATTGATAAGTGGTTCTCTGTGGAGCTTATATTAAGTATTTGGTTTGGCATTAGGCACCATGTTGTTTGAAAAATAGGTATTATTTTAAAACCTCTAATCATTCAGCCTGGTGAGATGCCTGTGTTATGAGGACACCTGAAAGCTGAAAACTATACTAGTTTAGAATAAGTCCTGTGCAAACTTGGACCAATTTCTTTTCCTTTGTTTTATTTTTCTCATCAGTGAAATGGGTAGGTTGGACTAGAGCACTGGCTTTTCTAAAAAAAAAAGAATTAATTATAGAAAAATATATATAACATAAAATTTACCACCGAATCCATTTTTAAGTATATAGTTCAGTGGTGTCAAGTGCATTCACATTGTAGTGCAACCATCACCACCACCCACCCCCAAAACCCCTTTCATCTTGCAAAACTGAAACTCCACGTTCCTCCCTCCTCCTGCCCCTGCAATCACATTTTGTTTATCCATTTGTCCATCAATGGACACTTGGCTTGCATCCACCTTTATCTATTGTGAGTAATGCTGCTGTGAACATGGGTGTGCACAGCACTGACTCTTAAACTGAAATCACTTTATAACAACAACGATAGCAACAACCGTAACCAGAGCCAGCATTTATTGGGCATTAAGTGGAGATAGCATTGTTCTAAATCTTTATGCATATTAACTCATTTAATAGTCAAATAACCTCATGAGGTAGTTTGCAGTCTGATTCTTGTTTTCCAGGGGAGAGAACCGAAGCCCACAGAGTTGAAGTATTCTACCTGAAGTTGTAGAGTTAGGACGTGGAGTAATCACTAAGAGAACCCAGGCAGTCTGGCCTCAGCTTTTAACCACTCTACAGTCTGCCTGAGGTGTATCATCTCTGCAGGAATTATTAGAGGAATGGGCCCAAGGTGTCCCCCTCCTCCATTTAGAGCCCATCCATTTTTATTTCAATCACTGAACTTCTGGGTTTTCATTTCAATACCAATTTGTATAGCTACAAACAAATTTAAAAAAAAAATTTACTGACTCAGATGGTAGAGTTTCTCTTATTGGAACATTCTGTGAGTCTAATTTTATTCTAGCTAAGAGAGTTGACAGTGTGCCCTGGGCAGAACAGCCAGTCACCCAGCAACCATGTAGGAAGTACCTGAGCGGTGGGTTCATTGCACTCCGAGGTTTCTGACTCAAACGTCTGTTTCTGAAGCGTCTTGTGAAAATCTTTTCGAGATCCAGTCTTTTTAAAGCTGCAAATCTCCGAACTTCCTTGGTTTCTTTTATTGTTGATATTATTTAATTTGGAGAGACAGAGAGAGGGGGAAAAAAGGCAAAACCATTAGATTAAAAATAAATGTAGTGGCTTAAGTGTAGACATGATGCTGAAAGAGCTTTCAAAGAGAGGACCAATTGTAAGTCCTCACATCTAATTATGCACCAGGCCTAACACAAGGCTCTGTTGTAATGAGACACAAACTTGCCTCCTGGCTGGCTCATTATTAAAGGCAGGAATGGCCTGGGAAAATGCCACTTCAGAGGTGCGGTCATTTCAGCTGTGGGGCATTTGGCTCCAAGCTGAAGCTAAACTGTGACCCTAGTGTAAGAGACTGGAATAAGCCTAGCAATGTGCAGAAGCAGCAAATAGGGATCGTTTGAAGATAAAAATAGAAGAAACCATTTCATCTCCACATCAATGTTCTTAATGAATAAAAAAGGCGGTACACAGTTCAGAAAAAATAGAAATAAATGATTTATCTACTGAAAATCTTTGCCAGCGTTTTCAATTTCCACTCTATGAACTCCATTTAAATTGCGTTTAAAAAATGTGTAGCTATGAAGGGGTTTAAAAGAGTGTCGAGCACTATCATTGCAGAAATGAGACCATTATGAAAAAGGCAACAGATGTAAGTTGTCAAATAATAACTATAGAAACCAGTGTGTGTATTTTCCATTTTTATGACTTAAAGGCTTCTTGGGAAATATGCTGCAAAGTCAAAAGCACAAACATGCAGCCATTATGTTTGATTTCCCATACTGTTAGAAAAACCATTGAGCAAGTTGGCAAAGGAAACGAGGTTAGGATTTATTAGGCAGATCGAATGGCAAACAGCTAAAGCGGGAAATGTAGGAGAGCTACTAACAATAATCCAAATACAGATTTTATAACTTTTAGAGAGAGAAGTGTCAGAGGGAGGGAGGGGCACACACAGACAGGTATTTAATAAATATTGGTTGTTTGAATTAATTAAAGAAAAAGTGAGATGTCCCTGTGTCTTCTATAGGGAAAACAGAAATTTCTCCCTGGATTTTATTGTGTTCTGAAGACAAGCAATTGGTTTTGAGCAAAAGGAGACAAGAAACAGCCTAGAAAAGAGACGAGATCATGCTGGTAACTAATTCAAGTCCAGGTTTATTGCAATTGGCCATCTTCAATGTCTCCTGGCCACTTAAATTGCCCTGACCCAAGCCTGTATTGATAGGGCTGGGGGAAAAGTAGGCTAAATTGGAGAAGTGAAAAAAATGGAAAAAACAAAAAATAAAAACAGGAAAATGAATAAGGTGTACTCTGAATAAGGAAATAAGACTAATCAATTAGAAAGGATTTCAAGAAAAATATCCAGAATAATTTCTGATTTGGGATTCCTAAACATCGATTAAAGAAACAAAAATTAAAATATAAATCATATTTTTCATAAATATCAATGAACAAAAAATATTTTAGAGACCCTTTCAAACAATCTTCCAGAACTAATAACTAAAATATTTATATAAAATTATTTTAGTTCCAGTTGCTCTAAGTGTGCAAATGATAGCAGTAAAAAAAGAGTAGGCATACACACAAGCTAAATTTATTTAATAAGATCTATTTTCTACGAATAGAGTGCTTTAAGATAAATCTTCACATGGGATTTCATAAATCTACTGGCTTCCAAAAAGTTATTCTCACCAATATAAATTCAGGCAGCCATGTGGATGTGAGTGCTGGGTCAGCGAGCATTCCTAGTGTTAAAATGACTGTTTTTGAAATCTACCAAAGGCCTCCCCACCCTGAAAAAAAAGCTGTGTGTGAATTAATATCCCTAGTGAAAAAACCCAACTCATGGTAGTGACAAATCCAGGCAAATATTAAGTTGTGTCCTAAGATTACACTACCCCAAATGACAACACACTGAATCAGTAATTACTTTTCCTGAAAAATCCAATTTTAAGGGGAGAAATTACCAAATATATTAACTAACATTAATTTGTTCTAAGGTCAAAAGCACACAGTGAATTACAATTCAAATTTCCCACTTTGGCATTTGCCCTTTGACTTTTTTAGAACCTGTACACTCCAAAGGGTATGGATATCAAAGTCTTAATATCACGGCCTCTTTACAAGGAAATCTTTGTGGTCCACAGAAACAAAAATCAGGAAGCAGAGTAGCTAAAGACTTTTAGTGTGGCAGCCTTATGACCAGAGCTATATCTGCGTTAGCTTTATTTTTTTTAGGTCATAAAATGCACCTACTCGCACTTCCAAGAGTGTTTACTTACAAGTGAACATTACACACACACACACACACACACACACACACACACACTACAGATGTGTGCCTGTCTCTGTCCTCTAGTCATTTCTCTCTGTGCTTCTGCTTTGTCACAGGGTGAGGCATGAACATGAGGCGAAGTCTACGGTATCTTCCCCAGCTCTAAGATCTTATGATAAAAAGTTCATACACTCTATCGGCAAAAATTAGAGTCAAATTTTCTTCTCAAAAGATGCTTAATGTTTGGGGCATGAAAATTTATCTGGCTATGGTTCTTTTGCTATTTTATGCAGATAGATGCTTGCTTTTCTTTCTTCCATTTTGTTAGAACATTTTCTGGAGTTCTTTACGTGGACTCCAAAGCCACTGGCAAATGGACATGAAAAAAATAGTGTTAAAAGTTCATCTCACAATATCTACCTTTTCCCTGATCTATATGGATCTTCAGGATTTTTGCTATGGTAAGTGTTAAGACTAGTGTCTTCCCTGACTGTGTGTTTGAAACTGGAGCAAACTTTCTTCCCCTTCTTCATACTAGATTTAGCATCTACTTCCCTATTTTAAAATCTCAGAAAGTCACAAAGCTCCCTACGGCAGCAAGGGTGAAACTGGCTGGGGAGGAGGGGACGAGGGCTGGCAAGCTGACTCACTCCAGACGTGCCTGCCGCAGAAGGAGCCGCCACTGGGTAGGTAGGGAGACTGCTGGCTCGGTGCTGCTGGCTACACGAGGCCCAGCCCCATTTCGCTCGTTACTGCACCCTGGCACCTGAGTCAAATACAGCCAAGTTCCTGTCGAGCCTCTGTGCAGACAGGAGGAAGATGGGGAAGCAGGCCAACTGGCAGAAAACCAATCTCATGAAATGGACACAACCTATTGCTACCCAGGAGAACTGCACTCCTGTGCTTCTCAAAACACTATTCTTACACATTTGGGAACAATCCAAAGAACAAACATATTTTGGAGCCTTTTCCATAGAGCCAGTGTGGTGGAGCATTCAGAATCCAGGCTCTGGAGTCAGAAGGACCTGGGTTCAGATGCCACTCCTTATATAACAGCTAAGAGACCCTGGGACTTGACCTCTCCAGAGCCACCATTTTCTCAAACGTGAAATGGGGGAAATGTTGTTTATCCTGAGGGCCTATTGTGAGGAATAGAAAACAATATATATATGTTTCTTTTCTTCTTTTTCCTCTTCCCTTTCCCATACCTTTACCCTTTCCTTTCCCTCCCTTCCTGTATAATTTGGTGCCAAAATCATAAGGTGCATTGGAACAAGGTTGCCATCCATGTCTCTGGGTGAGGAGCAGCCAACGAGCCCAGAATGGAAAGTTGAAGCCCAGACAAGGTGAGGAGGGCACCTGTTCAGAAAGGACCATCTGGCATAGAGACTCAGAACCCAGATGAGGTGGGGGCCTCCAAGCCTGGGC